ATTCCCCAGCCAGCATGCTGGCTGGGGAATTCTGGGAGTTGAAGTCCACATCTCTTAAAGTCCCCAAGGTTGAGAAACACTGCACTAGAGCAACTCTGGCAGATGACCACATAGCTTCTGTGTGAAGATTTCTAGTGAAAGAAAATTCACTGCTTTATTTGAAATTTCATACAGCCAGGAAGTTCCCCCGACATCTAGTCTGAACCTCCTTCCTTGGAGTCTTAACTCACTGGTTCTGGTCCTGTATTAGAAAATAAGTCCACTCCTTCTGTGTAAAAAAAAATTAGATATTTGAGGACTGGTATTCTATCTCCCCTCAACTGTCTCTCTTGAAGGCTTAAACATATCTAGAACTGCTAACCACCCCTCACAGGGCTTGGTTTTCAAACCTCTCACCTTCTTGGTAGCCCTCCTATGAACCTGCTCCCATCTACCATTGCCTTTTTAAAAATATGATCCTCAGAACTGGTCACAGTACTCCAAGCAGGGTGTAACTAGGGGAGAGTAGACTGGAACAATTACTTTCTGTGAACTGGACTCTGTGCTCCTATTAATACACCCACTGCTCAAGCCTGTTAATAGCTTTTTTAATCTTCTCTCTTTTATCTGAAGTATTAGCCATCTTTCCAAACTTCTGTCATCTGAAAACGTGATGAACACTCCGTCAACTCCCTCATCCACCTCATTGATAAAATGTGTTGAAAGCACAGGGCACAGGATAAAGCCCTGTAGAATTCCATTCAATACTTCCCTCCAAGCTGTTGAAGCCTAAACAAACACTTTTCAGCTGAGTCCCTTCAGCCAATTGAGCATCTAACAATAGCAAGATACAGCTCATACTTTACAATTGTATTAAGGAGAATATCATGAAGACTTCCTCAAAGGCTTTCCTGAGGTTCAGATGCATTATGTCTACTGCATTCCCCAGATAGTAATTCTGTTGAAGAAGGAGATATGGTAAATCTGACACAGTTTGCAACAAATCCATGCTGACACCTGTTAATTTTAGCATGCTTATTCAAGTGCTCACAAATATGCTGCTTCATAATCTGTTAAAGGATCTGGGAGGGGATATATAATAGCAGTCTTCTCCATTTCCCCAGGTAGAACTTACAGATTAAAACTGAGAGTAGTCATCAGGTTGCAGTTGAGAGTAGTCATCAGGAGCAACTTCCTGACTGAACAAGCTGTTAGCTAATGGAACAGATTTCCACATGCGATCTGGAGATCTTCACTGGAAATTTTCAATAGAGACTGGATGCTCATCTATCAGAGATGCTCTACTTGATCCTGCACTGACCAAGGGATTCGACTAGATGACTTCTATCTACTGCCTGCCCAAGTTGGTCTGTAGTAAACTCCTACAAAGGTATTACTTTTGTTGTATCACCTGTTATTGTAACCAAAGCACAGTCAACAGGATTTCTATGCTCCAATTCTGTGTATTAGTTTTCCTTTACATACAATATAACACCCACCCTTTCTGTTGGGTCTGTTCCTTTAAGTTGTAGCATTACAGTATCATGGGCCCATCATGAATATCATTCCATCAACTTTCAGTAATGCCAGTCCCATCAAATTTATCTTTCTGAGTTAGGATCTCTAATTCTCCCTATTATCCATCCTCTGGGCACTGATGTAGAAACACTTGAAGCTTTGAGTGGCATCACCTACCTGGACATCCGTTGGAAAACCAACTTGGCTAAGACTGCAAATTCCTGAGAAAGTTGCAGAAGAGGCAAGAGGCAAGATTCTACGGATAGAGATCTTCATGTCAAAAGAAATGCAGGAAGGTTGGCAATGTCTCAAAAATAAGAAGCTGGAAATCACACACCATCCAATGAGAAAAAAAGAGAAACAATTTAGAAAACTGCTGTGGATGCACAGGGAATTTCTACTGAGCTAAAAGTTACATGTTAGAAAATGGAAGATGGATGTAATCTCCAAGAAAGTGCACCAGAAAGTAGCAAACATCTGCAGAAACAGAAGGGCTAAAGCTCATAAAGGAACTAAAACTCATAAGGGGAGCTAAAAAGCAACAAAAAGGGTGGGATATATTTTTTTTTTGGCTGTATCAGTTGTAAAAGAAAGAAAAAGTAAGGGGCAAGTCTTATGCTGGGAGATGGTATAAGAATGACAGGTGATGGGAGGGGTATAATTCCTCAACTCCTGCTTGAGAACAGTGCTTTAATGGCCCTTAGTGGCAACCCAAGGTAAGTAAAGAGATTATCAGGAAATACCTTGCTACCATAAATGAGTTTAAGACTCTGGGAATAGACCAATTACTTCTAAGAACCTTGAAGCCCCTTTCTATGATCTTTGAGAAATCATGGACGATGTACACTGCTTGGAGAAATGCAAATGTTTCTATCTTCAAAAAGGGGAAAAGAGAGGACCCAGGTAACTAAACACCATTGACATTGATATTAGGTTAAACTCTGGGAAAGATTATTAAGCAGTCAGATTGTGAGCATTTAGAAAATAACACACTGCTTGGGCCTAGTATGGATTTGTCAAAAATAAATTATGCCAAGACAAAATCTCCTTTTCAAGTAGCACGACCATGGGACCTAGCATACCCTGACTTCAGCAAAGCATCCAATGAATTCTCCCATTAAACTCTACCAGAGAGGATGACAACATGTGGACTAGAACATCCTACCGTTGGATGAAAACAAAGATGGCTGAATAATTTAACGGATGTACATCAATGGCTCTGCATTAAGCTGGAAGGTGTTGAGTTGCATACCACAGGACTTTGTTCTAGGCCTTGTACTATTCAACATATATATCATTAAGTTGGATAAGGGGCTAGAAACCATGATCATTATACTTGCAGAAGACAAAAAGAGAGGGGTGGTAGTAGCATACATCTGAGTGTCACGATTCAGGAGGATGTGGAAATCAGCATAAAGAATTTCAACAGGGGCAATGCTAAACCTTACATTTAGACCAGAAAAAGGGATAAGTATAGGATGAAGGACAACCCAGACAGCAATACTTACCAGTCACTCTCTGGGGGAGATGGGCAGCATATAAATTTAATCTTAAATAAAAATAAAATTATTGTTCCTTTTTATTCTACATTGATCAGAATGTACCTAGACTATTGTGTCCAGTTTGGGGTACTGCATTTTAGGAAGGACAATGACAAATTGGAACACGTCCAAGATGATAAAGGGCCTGAAAAGAAAAGCTTAAGAGGAACAGCTAGATGCACTGATTTATTTAACCTGGAGAAGACTGTGGAGAGACACGACCAACTTTCAGCATTTTGTTGTGATGCATGGGAATACAGCAGGGGCCAACAACGTTTCAAGTGCTACTGAGACATCTCTAATGATGATCCATGTTAGTTCTATTACTCCACATATAGGTAAAATTCCATATAATCAAAAACTTACCCGGGTAGAGCTGTGAGATGCAAAGAAGTCTTCTTCTTTCTCTTGAGGTGATAAAGGAGGGGCTCCACAGGCATCTATCCATAACTAAAATACACAGCAGGACATCTCATTATAAATGAACTAAAGCATATAATTATGTTCTAAACATAATTAGTAGCATTACAAGTTTAAATTAAACTTTGATGTGAAGACAAAACACAGCAGTGCAACTATTACTGGAAAGGATGTATAAACATTTAAATTCTAATGACTGATACAACATTTTACAGTGGCTGCTAAACTTTTGGCAGTCTTCACCAGGATAAGTAATTCTGAAAATCTAATTCCTTTATCCATGGCCATTTGCCAGCTGGAGCTGATAGTCCAAAATATCTGGAATGGATTACTTGTCTTTTCAAATCCAGAAACAGAGTCTGCCTTTTTTTATGGCAACTATAAGCAGATGAGAGCAGGGGTTTTACTGAGTCTACATCAATCATTCTACTGCAGAGATTAGATCTGCAGCTGATACACATGTTTTAAAGAGTAGTTTCCAATTTAAGGTTTTCACTGGCTCTTTAGTTTGAATTGTTACTTTCTGTTAAGTTTTAGATTAAGATATTTTATGTTTTAAATTTAAATATTTTATGTTTTAAATTAAGATATTTTAAGTTTTAGATTAAGATATTTTATGACTGAAATTCACTGGGATCCAAACTACTACTATTTTTAACAGCCTTTAGTGCTGGGTGAGGAAGTCTTTTGTGGGCAAGGACATACGTGCATAACCTTTTTGGGGGAAGGCAATGATCTACAATGTGGATGGAACAATAATACATACAGAAGTGGGAGTTTGTCAGGTTTTTTTCGCTTTTTGTTTGTTTTAAAGTGTATTTTAGGGCTTACACTACAGTTTTCATCTGTTTCCTAACTAATGTGGAAAAAATTGTACCATCAGTTCTCTGCAATCATTATACAACACTGAACAAATTGCCTGTGAACAAGATGAAATTGGTGATGAAAATTAACATGTCAGGTGATCACATGCTTGTAATTAGTAAGGCTGCAAGTTCAGATTCAGAAAAGGTGTTCTGGAGTATATCTATTACAATTCTTTAAAGCAGCTGCACTTCTTCCCAGGATCTAGTCATGAGGCTCAATAATTTCAGACAAATGCAACAGTTTTTGCAAATTACTTGTAGGGTTCCAACCAGGTGTATGTACTTTGCCACACAACAAGAACAGTATGGTATATTTTATCTTTGTATATGAACTGCTCATATAAGCAGAGAAGCAAAACATAATGGTAATATTAATACTGATACTAAAAATACAATAAGCTCCACCTTTCCAAATTAACTGCAGCATTTTAATGCATCTGAATACCATGAAATTTGTTTCATTTTAGCTTTATAAATATTAGGATCAGTTATAGATATTAGGATGACTGAATCAGCAAACACTGTAAAATGTACATTACTTACATCAGTGCCATGTTTCCGTGTTGCCTGAGCTGCAAGAGATCTAATCTTGTCTCTGTAGAGCTGCGCAGTACGACTGCTGTACTTGGCACTGGTATCATTTGTGGCACAACCATGCTGATGAAAGAATGCAAACTAAAAAAGAAATACCAACAAGATGTGCTTTTTTAAAAAATGGGGGATGAATTTGGCATTTAAAATTTGGTGTAAGCAAATAAAATGAAAACTAATTCATTATTAAGATATACTTCTTCAGTTATTCAATTAAAACAGTTTGTTTGTACCATATACTCTCATCCTCTACATGAGATGCCCCTGACAACTACCTGGAAGCTATGGCTGGTCTGCAATGTAGCACCTTGAGTAATTATGAGTGCTTCTCACTTCATTCGGGGAACACCAATTTCAAGAGTTACACTGGGTATCAGTTGGCTTCTGGGTTCAGAACCTGGATATCTTTTGAACCACCCACTTTCAATGGTATCTGCCCATCCAGTAAGATCTGGAAGGGAGGATTCTCTTTGGGTCCCTCTTTTGAGGTAATGTCATCTTCAAGGGCCACAAAGGTTGTTCTGTTCCACTGCTGCCTCCCTTTCTGGAACAGCATTCTCCCCAAACTTGCTGGGATTTAGAGAGGCCACTAAGATCTGGCCATTTCAGGTAGCCTGTGGGATTAGACAGCAATAAGTTTATGCTGCTGAGTGCATGCTCCTCAGTGCAACAGAAGGGATGATGCTATTACGTGTACAGTTTTGCATTACTTTAGCCCTTTTTACTGAAATGGAGTGTATGTCACTTAGAGTTGGGTGCTACTGAAGTGGCACATAACTCTGAATAATAAATAATAATAAACATATGCCCAAATATGTGTAAGTATGTTTTTATTAGTTTCAGCTACTCCCAGAGATAACATAATGGTAAAAGTATCTATGCAAGATATATCCTACAATAGTCTTTGGTAACATAGAACAGTCCCAAACATTATAAATTGGGACTGGCTTCAAATATTATTGCTTGAGGTAAAGTATCACAAAACAATATTGTTTTTAATAATTAAAAATCATGGTTTGCAAACATCTGTGCTGCCTTGGAGAGAAGAGGTGAATGACAATAGGCTTTGGTCTTACCCATTGATCAAGGACTATTACGAGAAGGTATTATTTCTTTCCAGATGACATTTTTTAAATTTATATCAAGCAGAGAAGCTTGCCATTCTTCTTTCTGACAAACAGCATATTCAGTGGCTACTGACTTTGGACTCAGTAGTAGAAGCAGTAGTAATTTTAATTTTCCTGTGTCTATAACTAGACACAGTACAAAATAATAAAATGCAACATCAAGAGATTAATACAATAGCATACTATAATACAAGATCACAACTAAAATAACCTGAATGGCCTCTAATATTAATCATTAAAATTTATACTTAAACATGTTTTTGCACACATAGTACTTAAACCAGCTTCACCAAGGCTCATAAAAATAATTTTCATTACCTTTTTCATCAAAAAGAAAAATCAGATTCCAGGTGTAATTCTAGTGGAAGCTGGTTCCAGAAGATTGGCACTAGATGGAAAACAGCTCTCAGCTGTGATATAGATATTTTAGGAAGAGGAAATACTAGTCAGCCCTGGCTAGACAACTGGGTTGAGCTTGTAGACTAGTGAGCTACAAGCAGATTGTCCAAATAGCTATGTGAATGCAATTTAGAGAAATTGTACAAGATAGCTAAATATGAAAAATTATTTTAAACCACTCAATGAAAAATCAGAAGGTTCATAAATAAAAGTTTATACGTGCTTCCTTGCCTATACACTAACACTCAGAGTATGGGAAATAAACAGGATGAGCTTCTTCTTTTAGTACAGAAGAGCAAATAATGATTTAATATGTGCAATCCACACAAGACTCCCATGACTCGACAAGAGTAATTGAAGGGTGCCATCTTTTTCAAAAGGAAGAAAAGTAATAGAAAGAAGAGTTACAATGTATGTTAAAAAATAACCATTCCTGCTTAGAAATCCAAATAAATTAAATTGGTAATGCTGTAGAAAGCAGCTGGTTAAAGTAAGTGGAGAAGGCCTTAAAACAATATTGTTGTTGGTATTTACTGTCATCCTCCTAATAAAGACAAGTTGCAGATCTTTTAAAGGATCTGTAGTGATGGGAGACTTTAATTACACTAACTTACTAAAAGGTAGAATTACATTTTTGCTTCCTGAGAGGCAAACTCTGTCAAGTATGTTCCTTTCTGATTTGTCTTGCTGACAGGTTTTTCTCCAGAGTGTGGAAGAAGATATAAGGTTACTCTTGGCTTCATAATACCCAACATCAAGTTGAAAAAGTGAGAGCAGCAGGAACTTTAGGGAGAAAATTATAATGCAATATTGGAGTTTTTGATTTTAAGGAAGTTAAAGCCAAGTGAACACATATCAAAAAGTAAATTTTAAAAGCTCAGAGCAATAACAATCACTTCTATGGCAAGAGAGGGTTAAATTAAAAGAAACTCAAGTTGGGAGCCCTTAAAAGTGAGATATTAAAGTACAGCTGCAAACAATTATAGGCAATGTCTCTATACAAATGCACAGGATATGGGGAGCAAATAGAAAGAACTAAAATTCTTAACGCAGGAAAGTGAATATGATTAGTAGGTATTACTGAAACCTGGTGGAATGCAAGGTTTGAGGATTTTACTTATTCAAAGAGAATAAGCCAGGAGGGAAAGGGAAAGAGGAGTGAATATATTTATTGAGTATATATGTGCACTTATATTGAGAAAGAGGAATTTGAGCACAACAGTCCAGACAAGAGCATTTGGATAATACAAGGAGAAATAACAAAGTAGTGCTGACTGCCAAGCCAGGCATAATTTTGGGGTTAATGCCCTCTTGGACCAGAGTGTGGAACTTTCTGAGTGGAGAAACATAGTAATAATGGGAGATTTTCAGCACTGTTGAAAATCCAACTCAATTAAGACTCCTCAATGGCATTGCTGACTATTTCATTTTCAGAAGTCTGAAGAAGAAACAAGAGGATTGGATCTGAGATCTGATCCTAACAACTAAGGAAGCAGTGGAAATTTTGAGAGGAAGTGACTATGTCATCTTGAAGTTTAAGATACTACCAAAAGAGAAAATGGATCATAGTCATACATGGATTGTAGGAACGCCAATTTCAACAAGCTTAGAGAAGGCAGGATCCCGTGGATAGACACTCTCACATTAAAGGGAGCCAAGAAATATCTCAAAAGTAACATTCTGGAAATGGAATTACACACCATCCCCTGGGAATAAAAATGGGGGCAGCATAGCAAATGCAAATTACTGTTGTAGTTATTATTTTCCTGCATGTAATATAATCACAACATTGAAAAGTTGTTGAAAATTATGTTAAAAGTTTATGGGATTTTTGCATACAAATTGATCATCAAATGGAATGCAACACACAGATTGAAAAAAGTAATTCTTGCTGCAATTCTTGGGTACAATAGAACTGAGGAAAAAGAATTGGAAAAATTATAAAATATAGAGATCTAATTATCAAAATGGGTAAATTATAGAAAAGCTTCTTGCAAAGTCATCCCTACAGTTATTGGCACATTAGGCACAATGACCAACAAATATTATTAACAAGACATAAACATTTCAGTGATATCAACTGTGGATTTACAAAAAAACACCTTGTTGAACATATGCTATATCTTGTTACTTGGATAATTCCTCGGCTCCTGGGTTAAGGTTGAATTTCCAAAGTACAGCAGTCCAAGTTTTGATTCTTTTTGTTTTTTTCTTTATTCTGTGTTATTCCTTGATGAACAAAAACATTATTGTTAGTTGCACAGTCAGCCAGATGTTTAGACTGGATCTGACATTTTTATCTCCCTATCGAGTCCTTCCCAAGGACCTGGGATAGGCAGATGTTGTTTGATGGTATTAAAGGTATTGTCACAGGATGTAAGATGTTTCAAGATGCCTTTTGCAATTGACTGATGGTGATTTTGTCAATGTCGGTGGTCTTCAAGTGGTGCTCCAGATGTTTTGGGATTGCACCCAAGGCACCTATGACTATTGGTACTATCTTTGCTTTCTTTTGCTACAGTCATTCTAATTCTATTTGCAGGTCTATTTGCATTTTGTGATTTTCTCCAGTTCCTTCTCTTCTGCTGTCTCCAGCTATTGCAATGTCCACTATCCAGACTTGTCTTTCTTATCAACAATTGTTAAGTCTGGGGTGTTATGTGGCAGGTGCTTCTCTGTTTGAATTTTAAAGTCATAGAGTATTTTAGCTTCTTCATTTTCTATACTTTGTTTTGTGGTCCCACCAGTTCTTGCTTACAGGCAAATGATATTTCTTGCAGATATTCCAATGTGCCATTGTAGCTACTTTGTCATGCTGTTGTTTGCACTCAGTCTGTGCGATCTTCCTGTAGCAGCTGATTAGGTGGTACACTGTTTCTTCAGCTTCTTTGCAGAGCAGCATTTGCTGTCTGTTGCTGTCTTCTCAATTCTGGCTTTGTATGCATTTGTTCTTAAGGCTTGGTCTTGTGCAATCAGAATTAGCCCCTCTCTTTCTTCAACTTTCCTGCTCTTAATCATTGCCAGGTCTTGTTATCTGCTTTGCCTATTTTTTTTTTTTTTTGGGTGTGTGTACTGGCCATGTAATACTTTGCTTTGCCATGTATCTTTTCTATTCTTTGTTTGGTCTTTCTTACAGGCCAGTTTGGTCTCTGGTATTCAGTAAGCCTTCATGGTGTACTAGTTTCAATGCATCTTCTTTACTGTCCTTCAGATATTCTTCCAATGCCCCCTTTTCTTCTTCAACTGTCTGGTGTACTTGCAACATTCCACGCCCAACAATGCTTCTTGGTAAGTAGAGTCTGTCAACATCACTGTGTGGATGAAGGGCATGATTCATTATCATTATTTTTCTGGTCTTCCTATCCAGGGCTTTTAGTTTGGCTTGAGTTCAGTCCACTATTCCAGCTGTATATCTAATGACTGGAATTGCCCAGGTGTTCATCGCCTTGATGATATTTCCACCATGGAGTTTGGACTTTAGGATCTTCTTCACTCTCATTATGTATTCACTACTAACCTTCTTCTTGACTTCAGTGTGCTTGATGTTGTCAGCCTAAAGGATGCCCAAGTATTTGTAGTGATCTTCTTCATCCAGACTCTTGATGTTATTTCCATAAAGCATCTTGATTCCTTCAGTTTTCACTATTTTTCCCTTGTTGATGGTAAGGGTGGCACATCTGTCCAGTCCAAATTCCATTGCAATATCTTGGCTGCATTGGCAGTGCTGAGCAGCAATTCCATTCCAGATGGTGTTTTTCCATACAGCTTCAGATTGTCCACATAAAGGAGGTGGGATAGCCTGACAGAAGTTTTTGATGTTTGATAGCCATGGCCTGACTTGTTCAGTGTTGTTGACAGAGGAATCAATGCAAATGACAAACAGTAGTGGTGACAGTGAGCCTCCTTGAAAGATTCCTCTCTTGATGTTAATCTCTCCCAATCTATCACCATTGACCAGCAACTGTGTCTTCCACTGTGCCATTGATCTTTGCACAAAAGTTCTGATGTTTCTACTGACTCCTGTTATTTCTAGGCACTTGATGATGATGATGATGATGATTAATTTTATTTATTTATTGTATTTATATAGCCGCCCATCTCACATAAAGTGACTCTATTATTCCAGGATAACTATTTATTTCTATCAACAAGAGAAACCTGCCATGTCTCTTCTTGCCATGGAGCTTTGACAATGGGCTTCTCTACGGGCAACAGCAATTCAGGTGACATCATATTCCTTGATTGAAGGAATGAAAGCCATATATTGCTATTCAAGCAAGAACTCTAGAAGGGCAAGTTCAGCCCAAGCTGACCTGTAAACAAATGCCAGCAAATTGCTCACCACTGTTTTCCTGGCCTTGAAAAACTAACCATTCTCCTCTTATTATCCATCATGCACCTTATCTTTTTACACTGCACATGTAAAAATAGAAGGAAAGAGGAACTCTTTCTCCTTTTTTACCAGATGCGAACTACTTTCAGCAATAACTGTCTGAAAAACAGGATAAAAAACAATGAATGCATCAATTCCAGTAACGATAATACAGATAGTCCTCTGTTAACAATGGTAATTGGGACTGGGAACTCCGTCGCTAAGCAGTGTAGTCGTAAAGCACGTCATGTGACCGTGCTGACTTACAACAGCAGTTCCAGTTGTGGTTGTCAGGCAAATCCTGCATGGTTGTTAGGCGCAATGTCATGTGATTTGCAACCTCCTACCAGCTTCCCCATTGACTCTGCTTATTGGAAGCCAGCAGTGAAGGTCTCAAATGGTGATCACGTGACCACAGGATGCTGCGACCACTGTAACTGGGAGCCTGGTTACCAAGCGCTCGAATTGCAATCATCTGACCATGGGGATGCTACGACAGCCTCAACTTTGAGGACCAGCTGTAAGACTCCTTGTTTACTGCTGTCATAACTTTGAACAGTCACTGAATGAATGTTAAACAAGGACTATCTGTAATCAAATCATACAGGCAGTCCTTGACTTATGACCATTCATTCAGCGACCATTTGAAGTTACAACAGCACTGAACAAAGGGACTATGACCTGTGCCCAAAGTTATGGCCGTTGCAGCGCCCCTACGGTCATATGATCAAAATGTGGGTGCTTGGCAGCCTGTACACACTTACGACCACAGGGGCACTGCAACTCCCCCCACTCGCCTAGCTCTCCCGATCTATGCCCTTTTGGCCCCCTGCTGCCTCATACTTTGCTGCTCCAGCTGACTTTCACTGCTGCCTTCTTGCTCCCACTGTTGACAAGGTGTACCCGGTCTGGCTGCTGGGCTGTATGATACTGGTTTCATGCAGTGAAAAAGAAAAAGAACCCCCCCCGCCACAAAACAGCTTAAAGGGGCCACAGCGTGCAAAAACTCCCCTTTGTGCCACACTCCTAAGCTGTATTTGGCTAGCTTTGCACTGCAAAAAAGGGGGAAAGGCTGCTTTTGGCTTTTTTCCCCTTTTTTGCAACACAAACCCAGCCCCATACAGCCCAAAAGCGCAGCGCAAAGGGACATTTTGGCATGCCTCCTGGCTCAGGAGGCAGCTGCTTTGCAGCACAAAGCCAGCCCCATATAGCCCAGGAGCATGGTGCAAAGGGGCCTTTTGACACACTTCAGCCCCTTTAAACTTTTTTTTTTCTTTTTCGCTGCGCAAAGCCAGCCCTATGTGACCCAGCAGCCAGGCCAGGCACACCTCATCAGCAGCAGCAGCAAAAAGTGGCAGCAAAGGTCAAATGGGGTGGTGGAGCACAGGGCGGCAGGGGTCTTGGAGTGCAGGGTGGTGAGGGGGACTGGGTTGGGGTGGCTGCGGCTTCCCAGGGAGTGGCAAGCAGCTCCAGAGCCATGCGGTTCTGGGGCTGCTTGCCACCCTACAAGGCAGGATGCAGGGTGGCCAAAAGGGCAGAGATGGGGAGAGATAGGTGGGTGGGAGGAGTTGAAGGCAGTTCCTTACCTTACTGAGGCTCAGGGCTGGGAGGGACCAAGCCCAGAATGGCTTGGATTGGAGCGGGTACTCGGCTAACAAACGGTAAAATGATGCCATCACTTAATGATGGCAACAGGGATTGCCAGGATTGTGGTCGCTAAGCAATGCAGTCATGTGATGTCTCACTTTATGACCGCATCACTTAGCAACAAAATTCCAGTCCCAATTGTGGTCATAAGTCAAGGACTTACCTGTATTCCTTAACAGAATTGTGCATATCAAGAGACAATGATTATGTGCCATGAAGTCAATATCCACTCGTAATGACTACATAGATGGACTTTTTCCAGGATGTTCTATCCCCAACTGGCCTCTTCAGCTCTTCCAACAGTGCACCTACTGCTGTTGAAATTGAGTCTATCCACTTTGCTGCTAGTTATCTTTTTCCTCCCTTCTTTCCCAGCATTATAAACTTCTCAACAGAGCTGGGTGTTTGCACAATGTGTCCAAAGTATGATAATTTGAGCCTGGTCACTGGTGACTCAAGTAATTGAGCTGGGTGATTCTATGATCCAATTATTTGTTTTTTTTGGCATCTATGGAATCTCAGGAGTCTACTTCAAGGAGACAGTTTTAAAGCATCAATATTATTTTTATTTTTTCTTCAGAGTCCAACTTTTGCTTCCATGGACTATTAAGGCAAACCACTGCCTGGATGATTCTGATCTTTGTAGGTATAGACACATCATAGCATCTGATTATCTTTTACAAGGCCTTCATTGCTACCCTACTAAATGCTAGTCTGCAGCATATTTTTGGACTGCTGGTTGGTTCCTTTACTACTGATAGCTGATACTAAAAGGCAGAAGCTATCTATTACTTCAGTATCTTCACTGTCAATTCTACAGCTGGTTACTATACTATACTATGTCATTAATTTGATCTTCTTTATATTTCACTTTAGTTCCATTTTTCACTGTGTTCCTTTATTTTCAATACTGTGGCTTCCTGCCCTGTGTATACGTTCCACATGAGGACAATGAGATCCCCATTTCTTAAGTACATTCCACAGCTGGATATAATCAACACAATTAAAGATCTTTCTATAATTAATTAAGTGCATATTGATTTCTTTTCAGTATTCTCTTGTCTCTCAATTATCTAGTATGCATCGGCAATAATGTCTCCTGTTCCTCAGCTTTTGCTAAAACCAGCATTAATATCCAGCATCACCCTTTCCATGTATAGTCCTAATCTACATTGGACAATCCTACACATTATTTGGCTAGCATGTGAAATTAAGAATATTGTTCAATAGTTTGCACACTCTGTTAAGTATTTTTTTGATATTGGTATGCAGACTGACTTCTTCCAATCTTTTGGCCACTGTGTTGTTCTCCAGGTTTTCCTGGCATAGTTTGGTTCAAACCTTTACTGATTCTTCTTCTGTTGTTTGTAAATAAACATTGTGTCTTCAATAATATTGAAAAAAATATTTTCAATACTTGAAAATATTGAAAAAACATTTCCATTAGTAATCCTACATTACTAAGCTAAGTAATATAGTACTAGTACTATGTATAATAACACTACATTATAATACTGAACATATTCCAGAGTTTGGACATATGATCACATATGATCAGGTGAATTTAAAGTTAGTGATATACAGTATTTCCTATTTAAATACTTTTTACTCAAAATGTAGCTTCACATTTCTGATTAGTATCTATTAGCAGGACTGAGTTATCCATACTCAGTGCCAAAATTTCTGAACCTTTGCATTCCACATTAAAAATCTGTATAATTTAGGCAAAAGTGTATGGTTTCTTATTTTACTCTCATTTTTATTTTGTTGCTGTTTTGAATAATTAGTTATTCAAATCAAAAAACAGATTAGGGCATCATCCCAGTATTACTAAATATCTCAGGTTGGACCTGGCCTACTGAAACCAGTGGGATTTAGACATGATCAACTTAACTCCCTTTGTTTCCTAAAGTATCTATTCATTTATCAGGGTTCCATGCATATTAGGATTTTTATGAATCACATTTTATATATTTTCTGTCCTTTGATATAACTGCAACAGATTCCTAGAGCAACTAACTATCTTGAAAGTCAGAGAAATAAATGAATAAGCAGCTAGATCCATCTTATTCATTTATTTCTCTGGCTTTCAAGATTGTTAGCTGCTCTAGGAATATGTTGCAGTAACTCATAATATCCACAGAACCCTGATAAATGAGTTAATAAATACGGATTCCTAGAAACCAGGAAAAAAAAACAAGCAAGTTTTAATAGGTATACTTACAGCATTTGCATTACCTCCAACCTGCATACACCTCAACTGAAACCATGACCAGTTTGAATCTAATTCTGTAGACCTAAAACCAAAAAAATAGAAATAATTTCTCAAACGCTTTTTAAAAACAAGAGTATCTTATGAGAGATACCAAAAACAAAAAAGGGGCTTGGGAATATGTTAAAAATAAAACAAAAGCCAAAGAGGATGTAGGCCCATTGCAAGGAGAAGGTGGTGAATTATAATGAATGATGGGGAAAAGACAGAACTTTTTAACTTCTTAATTTTCTGCCTGTCCTGTCACAGAAAGGAAATGGAGGTAAATGCTGGTATGCATTATGCCACTGGGAAAAGGAGGGAACAGAAGGTTAGGATAGACAAAGAGAAGGTAAGAGAGAACTTGGTTAATATAAATGAATTCAACTCTCCAGGGCCAGATGGATGACTTCCCAGGCTACTGAAGCAGCGGTGATTGAAGAACCACTCTTGGTATCTGGGTGACCTTGGGCCAGTCACTCTCTCTGTCAGCCCTTGGAAGCAGCAGTGGTAAACCACTTCCAAAAAATCTTGCCAGGAAAACTGCAGGGATTTGTCCAGGTAGTCACCAGGAGTCAAGCCTGACTCAAATGCACCAAAAAAAAAAAAAGCCCCAGAAGAGCTTTTTTTTGTCATCAAAAAAAGGAAAGGAGAAGGACCTGGGAAACTATAGAGTTCTCAGCTTGAGATCTATACTAGATAAGAGCCTCAAACAGATGATCAAATAACATGTTTGTGAGCACTTGTATAGGCATGCTACAATTAATAGGAGTCAACAAGTATTTGCCACAAACAATTCATGCCAGACCAACTTCTCTTTCTTTGACAGAATTACTAGCTTAGTAGATTAGGAAAATACCAAAGACGAAATATACCTGGACTATACCAAAGCCTTCAAGATAATGCCTCGTAATGTTTTCCTTCATAAAATGGTAAAATATGGGCCAAATATACTTCGTAGTGCTAGATGTATTCACAATTGACTGAATGCTTGCACCCAAAGAATGCTCTGTAACCTAAAAGGAACTCTGTGTGAAGTGTCACAAGATTCTGTCCTGAGTCATTTGCTGTTCAACATTTTTAACAATGATTTGGGTGAGAGAGTTAAGGGTGACAGATGACACAAAGCTAGGAAGGGTAATTGTCCATTGTATGGATGATTACCATGAAATATGGTCATTCTTTATCGAAATTATTGTATAGAACTTTATATACATACAGTGCATTCAGGAAGTATTCAGACCCCCTTCACTTTTTTCAATTTTGTTATGTTGC